GGGGGGACGGGGGTCAAATAAAAAAAAACCTCTGTTCGAAGGGTAGCATGGATATTTTTTGGAACAGAGTTGCACATTATTTATGATAAACTGACAATTAGATCACGAGTTTGAGTTTTCTAGTCTTTCTATATGACAGCTGAAATGGAGGGCAATTATTATCATATTGTTTTAATCAGGAGGATTCCACCTAAATTCCCTCATGATCCTGAGTAGTGATTTTCAGTTTTTCCATTACAAAATTGTGTGCAGACTCAACTGCCATCTAAAACTTGCAGCTATGTATTTCATCATCAGTTTTATAAAAATTATTCATGTGTTAAAGATTGAGAAAGAGCTGCAAAAAGAAAACAAGACGCCTGAGTGGAGGGGAAATACTCCCGTATATGGGGTAATAATGGGTATCAGTACTGCTGTGAAGGGTATGGTTTTCAGGTAGTTTAGGCTGGGATAGGGTAAAGAAATCAGCCAGATTTGATCTAGAATAGAGTACAATTTATATAATAGGAATTGAAACTGGAAGTGAGAACTTTACATTGGCAGAATGACAAATCCCAGCAAATCAGCAACTTTGTTGACAGATCGTTTTCCATTGAAAACACGATGCAGTTGTAGTGAAAATAATTCACTGTCAGTACGCAGCTGGAAATAAAAAGTGTATCTATAATAAATTGTTCTTCGCAAATTAACATGCTTGTCAATGAATTATTCATTCACTGCTTTTGCGTGTGACTGTTCCTGGGCAACTGAAAAGATTGAATATCCAAAGAACGGCACTTTTGCAACGCTTTTGCCTGGTGCTTGGACGTTTTTGCCTCCGGGTTTTCCAAAACGCCAAGATTTTGATTGTATGTCAAAGTGGATCAAGGACTTTTTACGCCCGGATTTTTACATCATAATGCCACCCCGACTAGGAGAAAAAAAGGTAAGTGTTTGTTGGTGGTTTAGTTAGCATATGTTGGACTAAGATAGTGATAGAGTTTTTGAATGCTGGAAAATAGCTAATCTGGGATAGAGTAGCGGTTTTTGGTGCCCGGACTAGAATAGTGTTGCAAAATCAAGCTGATCATGGTCTAGTATAGGGTAAGGGTTTTGACGTTGTCCCAGCAGCACACCCAACCCAAAGATTTACAGAGTATCCCCCCACGACAAGATGCCTGCTGTCTAGAAACGCTTTGTTGACTATACGCATGTGGATGGGATATATAAACAGTCACTGTTGAACACCATTAAGAACATTAAGCCGATTTGGGACATGGCTTGCAAAAGTAAAATAGTTGTCATTCATTGATGGAAACTCTTGAAGATGATTTCCAGTCCATACTGCACAGTCTCAGCACCCTAATGTTTATAAACATTATACCATTATAAATCTCACTCAACGGAATGCAAATCAATGTTATTCNTTCAGGTAGTTTAGGCTGGGATAGGGTAAAGAAATCAGCCAGATTTGATCTAGAATAGAGTACAATTTATATAATAGGAATTGAAACTGGAAGTGAGAACTTTACATTGGCAGAATGACAGCGAATCAGCAACTTTGTTGACAGATTGTTTTCCATTGAAAACACGACGCGGTTGTAGTGAAAATAATTAACTGTCAGTACGCAGCTGGAAATAAAAAGTGTATCTATAATAAATTGTTCTTCGCAAATTAACAGGCTTGTCAATGAATTATTCATTCACTACTTTTGCGTGTTACTGTTCCTGGGCAACTGAAAAGATTGAATATCCAAAGAACGGCACTTTTGCAACGCTTTTGCCTCCGGGTTTTCCAAAACGCCAAGATTTTGATTGTATGTCAAAGTGGATCAAGGACTTTTTACACCTGGATTTTTACATCATAATGCCACCCCGACTAGGAGAAAAAAAAGTAAGTGTTTGTTGGTGGTTTAGTTAGCATATGTTGGACTAAGATAGTGATAGAGTTTTTGAATGCCAGAAAATAGCTAATCTGGGATAGGGTAGGGGTTTTTGGTGCCCAGTCTAGAATAGTGTTGCAAAATCAAGCTGATCATGGTCTAGTATAGGGTAAGGGTTTTGACGTTGTCCCAGTAGCACACCCAACCCAAAGATTTACGGAGTATCCCCCCACGACAAGATGCCTGCTGTCTAGAAACGCTTTGTTGACTATACGCATGTGGATGGGATATATAAACAGTCACTGTTGAACACCATTAAGAACATTAAGCCGATTTGGGACATGGCTTGCAAAAGTAAAATAGTTGTCATTCATTGATGGAAACTCTTGAAGATGATTTCCAGTCCATACTGCACAGTCTCAGCACCCTAATGTTTATAAACATTATACCATTATAAATCTCACTCAACGGAATGCAAATCAATGTTATTCATTACGAACCAGATGCCTTATCTTTGAGGCCTTTCAAATTCTTTTTCCAACAGCTTCATTGATTTTTACCGCTGTGAAGTTGTTTCATCAAGTGATATGAGAGAGAACGAAGCATAAAGCTTTGGCATCCATAATAGCGGTCGACATGAAACTTTGAATTTACTTCATGTAAGTAGTTGCAAAATGTTTACATTTCATGATTTTGCCTGAAACAAAACAAAAAACGTCAACAAACTCTGGAGAGTGCGCAGTACGGACTGGAAATCATCTTCAAAGCAATTTAATGGGCCACTTTACACATGTTGCATATGTTTCAGCAAGCTACATTAAAAATAAAAATTAAAAGCTTACCTTTCTCATTAGATAGAAACCGAATGCAATTTAACTTCCGGTTGGGACATACGATCCTTACAATGGAATTTACATTGGATTCTAACCACCCTTGTGTCTCTTTGTTGACAAAAATCTAACCAATGTAAAATAAATGAAGAGGTTTTCAGTTAGCATGCCACTATGAAAAACGAACAATAAATGCAATAAGTAGCGATAAGCATTCCTAGCGAGTTATTTAAATCAGATCCATTTTATTACCTTCATTAAACAAGTCCGAGGGCATAAGCTTATATCATATGTGGTCCTCTGATCTATTTACGAATGAGTGCTCGCATTAATTAGCCTGCTTAACAATAAACATTGCCCAATACAAATCATATCGATCCCAATCGTTGAAAGCTAATTTAGGAGTACTTTCATCTGACAAAAAGGCAATTGTTAATCTGATTGATAAATTTTATTATTTCCTTATATACCTTGAACAGTTTGGCATTCTCTCTCGTCAATTGAACTTCAAGTTTATCCAATGATCTTTTATTTCCTGGAGGCACGCTGAGTCCAGTTGCGTCGTGCCAGAACTCCATATTGCAGTTAGTACTATTGGCAAGGACAGAACTTGTATCTCGATAAACAACCTCAAAAGCAATATGAGAGCGTTCTGCTTCGGCTCCGATCGCCCTGAAATTGAAGCCACATAGCCCACTTCCGCCAAACTTATCCACTGGCATTCCAGAAACAACCGATCTTTGTCCATTTTCGGCGACGAAAATGATTCCCAAGATCAGCCAACCAAGCTGGAAGCACGTCATGTTTTCGTAAAGCTAATCAAAGGCGATTTTAACGCGGTTATGTAGAATAAACCGCTCGATCTTTGTTGGAATGAGCTCAGCCATCTTATCTTTTGTTTTGGACTGGCCTTTTCGATGT